GGTGAAGGAGGAGAGTTTCAAGCCAACTTTTGCACTCTCCTCCTTCACCTGCATCAAGAGGCTCTTTAGTTCCTCTTCACTTTCTTCCATTAGAGTGGTATCATCTGCATATCTGAGGTTGTTGATATTTCTCCCAGCAATCTTAATTCCAACTTGTGATTTGTCTAGCCCCACCTTTCTCATGATGTGCTTTGCATAGAAGTTGAATAGGCAGGGTGATGGTATACAGCCTTGCCAAACTCCTTTCTTAATTTTGAACCAATCAGTGGTTCCATGTCCAGTTCTCACTATTGCTTCTTGTGAGAACTGGACAACTGAAACCAGCATACAGGTTTCTCAAGAGACAAATGAGATGGTCTGGTACGCCCATCTCTTTAAGAACTTGCCTCAGTTTGTTGTGATCCACACAATCAAAGGCTTTAGCATAATCAATAAGGAAAAGTAGATGTTTTTCTAGAACTCCTTAGTTTTCTCCATGACCCAGCGTATGTTGGCAATTTGATCTCTAGTTCTTCTCCCTCTTCGAAATCCTGCCTGTACTTCTGGTAGGTCTTGGCCCACATACTGCTGGAGCCTAGCTTGTAGGATTTTGAGCATAACTTTGCTAGCATGTGAATAATTATACTCTTACTATTGAGTCTTGCCCCTTAATTATTTGCATGATGTTTCAGGAATTTTATGGTTAGAAAGCAGGCATTTCCTCCATTACTCTATTTTCTGATCCCCTGATTATATTTGGTTGTCTTGTTTTTATACCCTTTTCAGCATTCTTCCTGAGGTACAGTGGTACCTCAGCTCACGAAGGTCTCAGTTCACAACCAAATCTGGTCGCAAGCAGAAATTTCAGAAAAACTTTGCCTCAGGTCACAAACTCTGCATCAGATGACAATCGTGATAATGCCCGTTTTCCCTGCACGAGCGTGACCGCAGTTGCGCTCGGTGGGGGGGGGGGGGAGATGGCCAGGATCACGGTTGCGCTCGTGCAGGGAAGATGGGCACGATCATGGTCGTTCGGGGCAGGAGGAGATGGCTGTGATCTTTGTTGTTCTTTGTTGTTCTTTGTTGTTCTTTGTCACTTTGTTTCAAATTTTTGTGATAAAAAAATGGTTATAGAATGGATTAACCTTATTTACATTGAACCTTATGGGGAAATTTCACTTGGCTCAAGACCAATTTCAGTCGCAACCAGAGTCATGGAACGGATTAAGTTCGTGAGCCAAGGTACCACTGTATAACCAGTACTGTACATAGTTTTCAGAGTGAGTGTATAGTTATGTCTATATCTATGCATACAGAATGAAACTGTTAGAGAAAGGGGACTGTACCCACACCCAAAGTGTAAAATAATTTGTAATTCCTTATTTGACTTAAAGTGCAATAACAATGATTGGGCAGCATTGGGAACCATGAGTCTGGCTGTATCACTAGCTAATACAAACAAAAGAGTTTTCAGAACAAAAAAGAGCACTCAAAATACTTTATGTTCAGAATCTTTGATGCTTAGTTGAAGAAATTTTCGGTGGCTTTTTTTAATATAAATTTTTAATTAAGATTTTAAACTAATGCTAAAAACATCAAACATCACATACATCGGATGTACTGGGTCAACCTCCTACTACATATTTTTTAACATTCTAAAGTCAAATTCAATTTATAATAATTTAAAAACATCTCTAAGTTTATGCCAAGTCCCGTTTCTCCAGCCAATTATAGAAAGAATCCCGAGTTCAGTATCTTCTTTCTCCTTCAATGATAAAGTCAATCTATCCATTTCTGCGCAGTCCAAGATCTTTCTTACAATCAATCCATCGGTGGGCAGCTCCTCACTTTTCCAAAATTGAGCATATGCAATCCTCGCCACTGTAATTAGGTGCAGCATCAGATACATTTCCTGTCTGTTAACGTCTTCTGGTATGATGCCTAACAAGAAAACTTCGGGTTTAAAAGCAAAGGGTTTTTGTAATATTTCCTCCATCCATCTATGTATTTTAATCCAATATTTTTTCGCCTTATCACAAGTCCACCACATATGATAAAAAGTACCCACTTTATGTTTACATTTCCAACATCTATTTGACATATTTGGAAACATCTTAGCTAATCGACTTGGTGACAAATACCATCTATAGAACATTTTATATAAATTTTCTTTATACGAAGTTGCTAATGTTACCTTAATGTTTCTTTCCCATAGTTTTTGCCACTTTTCTAGTTCAACATTGACATTTTCGGTGGCTTTATGTGTAATGTTCACCACTGTTCATTAATCTGAAATAATTTAAGGTCTTCTGTATTCTGACTTGTGGGATGCTAATTATATCCTTTTTAGCTTGCTAGGATGGGGCAAACAGCTAACACCTTCTCAGCCATGCAAATGCTTGGAGCCATTTGCAAGAACTTGTTTGCATCTTCATTATATTTTAGAACTATTAAATAGTAAGTGAGCTTGTTAGGTTCTTTACTTGGCATTTGACTGAGATCATGTGTTTCCAAGTACATAAGTATAGGTGAAGCTGCTTAAGGTGGTTCACAGTTACTTTTGACAGGTTCTTTAAATTTTTATTTATTTATTTATTTATTTATTTATTAAAACATTTTTATGCCGCCCCATTCGCCGAAGCCTCGGGGCGGCTTACAACAAAAAATTTAAAATAACATTTTAAAATATATACAATAAAATACAAATATACACTATAAAACAAGCCGCCCTGGCCAAATAAAATTCAATAATATTAACATTTAAAATACTGCTTAAATAAAAAGGTCTTTGCCTGGCGCCGAAAAACAAATAACGACGGCGCCAGGCGGACCTCTCTGGGGAGCGCATTCCATAACTTAGGCGCCACCGCTGAGAAAGCCCTCCTCCGAGTAACCACCCTCCTAACTTCTTCCATGGAGGGCTCCCGGAGAAGGGCCTCTCCCGCCGATCTCAGGGGGCGGCTGGGCATATAAGGATGTAAGCGCTCCTTCAGGTAACCAGGACCCAAGCCGTTTAGGGCTTTATAGGTCAGGGTATACCTGTGTGAAAGGGTATTCAGGGTATACCTGTGTGAAAGCAAATTCAGGGTATACCTGTGTGAAAGCAAAATTAATGACTGCTCGGTACTGAAATAATGAGTAGTTAGTTACATTGTTTGCTTGCTGATTTAAAATTCACTTATTGCTGCTTTTAGAATAAATTACACAGTAACTTTTCCTCTTGCAAAGAAAGGTGTCCTTCATCTGTTGTTTCATTTGTCAAAGTAAATGGGCTGCTACAGCTATAGACTTAAGTCACAGTGGAGTAGCTAGTAAAAAAAATCTTTGCATGTTGTCCCATGCTTGAGAATTTTATTTATTCATTTATAACATTGCTAGTTGGCCCAGTAACTAATATTCACCAGCCAGATTACAAACAGTTAAACACTTTTTAACAATACAAATATTTACATATTAAAACGCAATACTCATTTACTATAATAAAACAGTTCACAGAGGGAGTGCAACCCTAATCAGACCAGAATGAATGCCACTGAACTAGATAGACCCACAAACAGATTATCCAATTTGTTGAATTTCTACCCCCACCCAGTCAATTATTCTGCTCAAGTACTGGGTCAGAATATCAACCTCCTTGCCTTCACTCAGTGGAAAAGAAGTTAAACTGAGTATTACTTGCATATGAGGGCCACCTTAGCCTGCATTCACAAATGACCTCTACCAGTAGTTTCATGAAGATCATGAAAAGCATAGGGCATGAAATAAAGCTGTGAGAAATTTATATGTCTGTGCTGACTCAATATGAAACAGCATCCTAACGTAACTCATATCAAATAAATCCAAGAGTGAAAAAATGCATTGACGAATATGTTGCAATCAACATATTAACTAAAATAGTGGTGGAGAGTGTTTGCTTTTATTATAGTCCGTTTATGTGTTAATTACTTGTCTGTTACATGCTATCAGAATTATCCATTAGAATAATTAAGAACTAATTATCTGTTTATTCTAGAATTATATTTGGTTCTTCTTTTAACGGCTGCTTGAGATACTTTCAGGATAGAAAGGTGGCTTACTGTTCAGATAAAGACACTTTAATAAAATCATAACAATATTGAAATACAACTACTCATAGGAATACTTCACACAAGGCAGTTGCTAGTAGTACTTCTTGAGCAGGATGTGAATGACAGTCCCTCTTGAACAAGCTTGAAGGTGACCTTTGCCTGCTGTCCTGTTCTCTCTTGCAAGCCTTCCCACAGAGCATTTGGTGGAAATTGCCCTGCAGAGGAAAGGGGAAGGGAAGCCAGACTGGAGGCCCAAAATAATCTTGACCTGTCTTGCTTCTTACGTTTAATGGGTGACAAAGAGTTTTTTCTAGCTACAAATACTTTCTTGGCTTCAGGTTTGAAAGTAGAATATCCCTTCCTTTAACTTTTATTAATACAGACTTAACAGATCAGTGTTCACCAGTACCCACATTCTGATGGTATATAATAGCTTGAAAAATTGGAAACTGAGGCAAAACCATTATTGGTAGCAATAGAAGATGAAACTTAGTTTATATACATGTTTCATTTCAGAATCTTCCATCTCTAACTGCATCTCTGACCAGCAATGTAGACGAAAATGTATGTTTGCTGTAGTGCTGATACTGTGTACCTTACACCACAAATGTAATAAAAATATTTTTAAGGAATCATCTCTATCCATCAGTAACCAAATAAGATGATCTCCTTTTATGGTTTTGGCCATGCAACTCAACCACATTCTTGACAAGCCTGTGTTGCCATCTTAAGGATGCTCATGTGTCTATCTGTTTTCAGGTGCTTTGTCTCTTACCCACTTGCTTCATTTTTAATCATTTCACATTTAATTCTGTTTCTGACTCAATGGAACTATTCCTGATAATGTAAGGTATAAGTTAATATGAAATTTCTAAAAGATCAAAACTCTAAAAGAATAACAGTATTAATTCTTTCATACAGAGCACCTGAAAAAGCGCTTGGAGGATTACATGGCCCAGTTTCCCAAAGTGAGGATTCTCCGAACCAAGAAGAGAGAAGGATTGATAAGAACCCGAATGCTGGGAGCTTCTGCAGCTATAGGAGATGTTATCACCTTCTTGGATTCTCACTGTGAGGCCAATGTGAACTGGTTGCCACCCCTTTTAGGTAAGAAAACTTTATGAAATACATTTGGCCTGAAAAATCCAGATGTTGATACAGGGGTGGACAATTTGTGGTTCTCCAGAAGTTATGGCCTCCAGCTTTCATCATCCCTCCACATTGACTATGCTGTCTAGAACTAATGGGAACTGTAGGCCAAAATATATGGAGCAACACATACGGTTTGAGTGGTAAACAGCAGTGACCTCCAGGTACTCAGAACAGCATAGAAACTTCTCAAAGACAGTATTGTCCAAGTCACAGTGGCCCAAAGTATTTCTGTCTAATGTATCTGAACTTAATTTCTGCCTAAGGTAACTTACATCTACTTACAATAACTTCAATTTATGTAGCATCTCTTTAAATACATTTAATCTCATAGTTGAAACAAAGATTTTATTCAGATGATGGAATTGTTAAGTAATAAGGAGGTTTTTGTCAAGCTGCAAGCTGATTTGTTAATCTTTCTCCATTAGGGGATAAATTGAGGCATGAATGAGGTATGCCCTGGGGGTTTTCTTTTCCCTTTAGAAGCATCCCATGACTAAAGCCTAAGTTACTCACTCTGAATATTGTATGTTACACTTGCACAGAGGAGATAAGCAGCTAGGCCAGACATGAGCAAGCAAGGGCATCACAAGTGATCCTGCAGTATATCTACTCACCCATCTTGTGCTGCCTTTTTTCCTCCCCTGAATGCATCTCATCCAGCTGCGAGGGTTGGTGGCTTACTGGGACTAAAAAAACTGAGCTTCCTGTCTTGGAGGGTTTCCACATAAGGGTCATGGGTGCTGGTGCATGCTGTGCTTGCCAGTATCCTAGATGCATCGCAGTTCAAAAAATGTACATCTGTTGGAAACTGTGATGAAAGGAGAAGAGGAACTTCCAAATGAGCAGTAGTGGCCATAGCAGAAAACGCTTGTTCGGTAAAACTTACAGCAATTACCTGCAGTATTTTATTCCAGGAGACAAATAATTCAGTCCTAATTTCTTTGTAGTTGCTGATTAATTGATTTCAGGTATTTCTAAGCTGACCAATGGATTTCAAAGCCATGCACAATAGATATAAAATATTTATATAAAATAAAGTTGCAATTATGCATCCTTAGATTTATCTGATTGGTCCTGTGGTTGATGCAGCCTCTAAAATTCAGAATGATTTCTGAGCCGTTGGCAGTACTTTAATAGCAAGTCATTATTTAAAAAACAAAATCAATTTATCATGATAAGCTGTTCATCTGAATTGATTGTCTGCCTGAAGCTGGCATAGAACTAGAGACACACCATGCCGAGTGTCATCCTCACTTAATGAACTAGTTGTGCACTTGAGCTTAAATACCTGGCTGTGTCTAGTTCACATGTTCTGATCAGAGCATTTTGGCATTTCACAGGAGCTATTATTTTGTTTTACTAAGTGCAAAGTAGGTAGTTAATAGAATAGAAAATAACTTTTGAAAGACCACATTAAAATGCTTCTTTCAAGGCATCTTAATGCACGTTCAATTTTTGTCTAGTACCAATTTGAGTAGGCTTTCTAGATTAGAAGCCTGTGCCTAGGTTTGTTAGTTCAGATATAATACATTCTAATCAACTTGCCCTTGCTTGTTGGTCCACATTGTACATTGGGGCTGATGGGACTCTAAAATATCTGGAAGGTACTAGGTTGGGAAAGGCTGCCTTAGAATTACCAGGTCAGAATGGTTCTGCCACAACAAACATTACCCATCTGAAATATTTTGAAGTATTGCTGCTTTGTCCTTTCCTTCCGGCAGGGATGAGCAGTGCCTGGTAGTCAGAGGGCCACTGACACCCACAAATCCACCATGGACCTCACTCAGTGCTGAATCTGCCAGTACTGCCAACAAGCAGAGTACCAAGTAGAATTTTACCCATTATTTTTTCTGCTACTGTAGCAGAAAGTACAAATGGTAGCAACAGGGTAATACAGCTGAGGTCACAAATCCTTACCTTAGCTGAGAATTATTCCAAGCCCTTTTCACTAACCCAGGAATAGGACAGAACCAATGTGTGTGACAAATCCTACTCAGCAACCCCCTATTTGGGCACTGTCCAATGTTTATCTGTAGAGAAAGGCCATATGTCAGGGTCTGGATCCAGGATGTAAGCAGCCGGAGACAAGACATGACAAGAGCAACAGAGGCACCAGGACCTCAGGCAACAGAATTTAAGGCAAAACAGAGTCCAGAAATAGGGTTTAATGGCAAGTCCAAATCATAGTCATGATACAGGACAAGGTCAGGAACCAGGAATATGCATGAGGGCAGAACAGGAGTGTGGTCAGGAACAAGCCAAGGGTCAAGCACCAGGAGGGCAGGCAGAGGTGCAGGTATCTCGGACAGGATAACAGGGCAGGAGACTCAGCATAGCAGGGGTCAGGCAAGGTGCAAGAACTGGACCACAGCTTGCAGACAACCCTGTGTTGCGGAGGCAACATTGCAGGACAGGATTCACAGCTAGGCAGGTTGCATGTGGTGAGGCAAGATACAGGTCGGGTCAGAGACAGACACAACAGCATGGCAAGGCAGCATACACAGCAGGAATCAGGAGCAGGCAAGTTGCAGGCCCTGTGCTGCTGAGGCAGCATAGCAAGGCAGGAGACAGGCAGATGCGGGACCAGTCAGACAAGGTACAAGAAGACTTGCATTGCTCAGGCCAGTTCTGGAGAAAAGAGCTTGCTCTTATATAGCTCCTTCCCCAGGACTCCCAGCTGGCACTCATCAGTAGAATAAGAGCTCTAGCAGGGCTTGGGACTGATCCTGCAAATACAGTGGTGGTAGTTCTGGTTCTGACCACCAGTGCAGCCCAGATCCTGACACAATAGGCCTGTGCCTCTTGGGTGGTGCCGGAGGTCAGACTAGATGGCCCAGGAGGCCCCTTCTGACTTGCTCTGTTTCTATGTCAGGTCTCAAGGTGTTTTGCTGTTTACCTGTAAATATATTTCATGTATTTGTCATGGCCATTGGCTAGTACAATAAATTGGTGAAATTCCTCCCTGCTCCAGCCTATGAACAAGCTTAGATATGATGAAGTAAAGAATAAATCAGCTTACACATTCATATTCATCCCATGAGGGCTATCTTTACCGAATAATTCCTTTATCAAGTGATTGTAGGTGGGGAGGAAATCACAGGTGAAAAGATACTCAGAAGCAGGACAACTTCAATTTTTTGTGTTTAGTACAGAAGGTACTGGGTTTAAACCTGAAGTGTGTCTGTTTTGTGCTAAAAACACAAATAGAATTGTATATATTCATGCTGTAAGTTCTGAGCTTGCTTATGTTTTACTGTAGATGCTTTGTTTTGCTACAGATGAGAGACGCAGAAAATAGGAACTTAACACCTTCTCTTTACTCCTTAGACCGCATTGCTCGAAACCGCAAAACAATTGTTTGCCCAATGATTGATGTAATAGACCATGACCACTTTGGCTATGAAACACAAGCTGGAGATGCAATGCGAGGAGCATTTGATTGGGAGATGTATTACAAGCGGATTCCAATTCCTCCTGAGTTACAGAAACCTGATCCCAGTGACCCTTTTGAGTAAGTTCTTAAAATGAAGTGTGAATAGGGGTTTAACAAGTGGGGTTGTTACAGAGATGGTTGACTCTTGGCACCGGTGCTTTCGCACAGATGGAAACTATCCTTGAATATTCCAGGCCACCATTCATTTTGAGAGGTGTGCTACCTTCTTGATACTTCTGATTATGGAAAGGAAGAAAAGAAAAAAGGTCACAAATTATAAAAAATGAGACTACATATAGCATGGGTTTTTACCATATAATGAGAAACAAGCATAAACAATATGCATATATTCTTATATACTGTACAATATAAATGTCAGCAAGAATTCATAAGATAATTTCCTGGCCCTACCCTTACGCTACTGCCAGAGCTCCTGAAAGCCTCCCCTAAAGTCAGAGGAACTCTGCCTGCTGCAGTTGCCTCAGATCAGTTCTTTGGGATCATCCTTCTGCTCTCTGCATAACAGCCCATTCCGCTGGGAAGACCCCTTGAGGCTCAGGGAAGCATTGGGGGAAGTGCAGGGAGAATGGGAGCAAGGAGGTCGCCCTCTGTAAATGCCCCATCTGCAGGCATACTAGCCCATAGTCATTATGAATTCAAGTTAATGTAGTGATTCAACCAAGTAATTGTAAATCCACAGGATGGTTATAATTGTTTTACGATTAGCCAGCAAAAATCCATTTCAGTTAGTTTTCCTTCATAAATCATCTATGTGTGTTATGAAAGCAAAGAAAATCCACACTCCATATGACAAAAAATAACACTTAGTCATTGTGTATGCTTATCAGCTGAATAATTTATTAAACATTTGAAAATCTTGATTACAAGGGAAAATGTCAAGCAGATAAATTACAACTTTCAAGAATTTTATTTAGTGTTAACAAATCTTACCCAAATGTTTTAATGAACTTCAATTATTATCATGCAGTAAAAGAATAACTTTTGGATATCGAACAACTTGTTGCTTCATGCTGACGAATATGCTGAATCATTGAACAACTAACCATTCAACTAATGCAGTAATCATTTAGAGAATGGGTCCTCAAACTACAGCCTGTGGGCCGGATCCTCAGAGGTTTTGGACTCACTCGGAGAAAAACGATCTCTGAGTGAATAAAAAAGCTCTGAGCCGGCACAGGTGTACTCAGTGGGGAGATGGCCGTGATCACGGGCACGCTCATGCAGGGCAGACGGGCACGATCACAGTCATGCTTCGGGGGCAGAGATGACCATGATCGTGCCCGCCTTCCCTACTCGATCATGCTGGAGGGGTGGGGAGATGGCTGCGATCACGGTCGCACTCATATATGGAAGACGGGTGCAATTACGGACGTGCTTCGGGGGCAGAGATGACCATGATCGTGCCCGCCTTCCCTACTCGATCATGCTGGAGGGGTGGGGAGATGGCTGCGATCACGGTCGCACTCATATATGGAAGACGGGTGCAATTACGGACGTGCTTGGAGGGGGAGATGGCTGCAGTTGTGCTGGGGGTGGGGAGATGGCCGCGATCGCACCCGCCTTCCCTGCACGATTGCAGTCATGTCCATCTCCCCCCTCCCGCACGATCATGGACATTGTAGCTATGTCCCTTGAATATGGACATGCTCTTCCCCACCTTCTGTAGCCTGAGTGAGCAGAGCAAGCATTTTTAATTATTTTTTTAAAATTGTATTAATTTTTTATTTTTATTATTTTTTTAAAATTTATTTTATTTTTATTAAATTTTATTTTTATTCATTTTTAATGTGCAATGTGCATAGGAATTCATTCATTTCTTTCATATGATAGTCTGGCCCCCCAAGAGTGAGGGACAGTGAACTGGCCCCCTGTTTAAAAAGTTTGAATACCCCTGATTTAGAGGGTTCAATTTGACTCGGGTTCTCTTGCCAGCTTGACTTTCTTTTCTTTTTAATACATTTTATGAAGATTTTTAAACTAACACTAAAGACATCAGTCATCAAATACATCAGACGTACTGGGTCAGCCCCCTACTCATATTTTTTAACATTCCATAGTCATATTCAAATCCATTTATGATAACTTAAAAACATATTTAAATCTAAGCCAAGTCCCGTTTCTCTAGTCAATAATAAAAAAAGTCCCAAGTTAGATAGAAATGCCAGCTAGACTTTCCAAGGGACAAAAAAATGGAAAATATTAGATCCGTTGACAAGTCATGCCATATTTTTACATTGATATACGTATAGCTTCTTCCAAACATTGTCTGTTGGAAGTCTGAATCTGACTGATTTTGGAAGTTCTGCCAAGTTATCTTTCCATAGTATTAAAAATGCTGTAATGCAACAATTTTGGAGAGATTGAATGCAACAGTAAGGTGGGTTTTGATATGTAGTGAAATGGTTGAAAATGTAGAAATATGGTGATGTAATGCAATTCATCTGGATCTTTTGATGCAATGGAGAACTGTATAGATAGACTCATAATACGGAGTCTGATTTTACCTTAAGGTCTCCTGTAATGGCTGGAGGACTGTTTGCAGTTGATAGAAAGTGGTTTTGGGAGCTGGGTGGATATGACGCCGGCCTGGAAATATGGGGAGGAGAACAGTACGAAATATCATTTAAGGTGAGCTACATTCTCTGAAAGTTTTTATTTGAAAAGAGTTTGGATAATTAGTTTTTGGGCAAGAGATACCAGTTTACACCCATTTTCTCCTGTATATGTATATGAAATCAAACTATTTCAAAGAAAGATTTCTGCAGTATTTCTTGAGAAGTACACTTTACTATAATGAATTGAAAATGCATATGTAAACAATAGGAACATTGAATATTGTTGTGGCCAAACTGTAAATAGCAGAAATTGGACTTAAGATAAAGTTAAGTAGCCAGTGGTAAGCCACATGAGCGACGGCTGCAGAAGGAAAGCACAGGTTACTGTAACATGGTATCAGTGGGCTTATTTGTTATACATATTTTGGATTCAGAATATCTTTTATTCCATGGTAAAATTTACATACATACTTTGCACTTAAATGTAGAAGTTTTTGTGGTAGCTTTAAATGCTAGTCTCACTTAGACATATGGGCAAGGGTATAATTTTACTAAATAAGTATTCAGGCAACTGAAGTCCTCCCCCCTACACACACACACAAACAAAAACTCAGAAATGACTAGCTGCTAGCGTTTTTCCTTGCTTCTCAGATTAAAATATTTCAGTCATGGTGGAACAATAGGTGACTCTAACTTAACTTTTGTATATCACCCTGTTTACTAAAAAGTGATCAAGGTGATGCAGAGCAGTTTAAAACAATACAATTCAGACCTGTAAGAAGCAAGTATCAAGCACCTTAAAAACAGTAAGACATTTTCGAAAATTAGAGGTTAAATTAAAAAGATACGTTTTTACACCTTTTCTAACAGCCAAGAGAATGGGGGCCAATCATGGTCCTTAACGGAGCATATTCCATAGTCTAGAACAACAGAGGAAAAAGCTCTTTCACATGTGTCCAATAAGTTTCCTTTTGTTTGTTTTATTTTTAGTTGTGAAGTCATGTCCAACCCATCGCGACCCCATGGACAACATTCCTCCATGCCTTCTTGTCCTCCACCATCCCCCAGAGTCTACTCAAGCTCACACCAACTGCTTGAGTGACTCCATCTAGCCACCTTCTTCTCTGCCGCCCCCTTCTTTTGCCATCTATTGTTCCCAGCATTAGGCTCTTCTCCAGGGAGTCCTTCCTTCTCATTAGGTGGCCAGAGTATTTGAGTTTCATCTTCAGTATCTGGCCTTCTAAAGAGCAGTCCTAGAGGAGAT